GCCCCTGTGGGTCTCCGAGACGGTCACTCTCGACAGGAGTAGAAAGCTTCATCTTTCAGGGGCCAGCCCCCCATCCCCACCCCAGATCCCCGTGAGCTGACCCGAGGGTTTCCAAGGACAGGTGCTTTCAGAAGCAGTTTGCCAGACCTTGACTCAGAGGCTCCTTCGGGCAGCTGGAGCCTCTGGTCCTGTGGGAGCTTGGCCCCGTTCTAGCGCTGACGCTGCGGTTGGAGCCGAGCTCATTTCGTTCCGAGGGCTCGTCTACGGTTTGACCTTAACGTCTTTCTGGTTTGTTTTCGGCCTTGGCCTGGAGGCTCAGGTTCCAGCCAGGCCCCGTGTCTCGAAACAGGGGTTTTCAAACTGGCTTTCCCAAAGGTGGTCTGGTCAGGGCGTGGGGGGATGTTGGGAGTGGGGAGTCAGCTGCGGTACTTTACGGAGAATTTCTGTGTCCTTAGAAAGGGTTCCGCTTCTTAGAACAGCCACAGCGACCAGGGCAGCAAGGGCTTGGGGCCAATGCCCAGTCCAGGATGGGGCCATCAGACGTCAAGGCCCAGACCTGGCTGGGCTGTGGCCCTGGTGTGGCCTTGGGCCAGCTGCTGCTCGGGGCTGGAGCTGGTCCTCCCGCTCCCTTCCCCGTGCACCATCCCCCATCCTCTTCCAGCCCTGTCCTCAGTTTAATGTTTCCCTCTGCGCATAAAGGTAACCTAGATACAGGCAGTCAAACCCGCAGGAGAACCGTGAGACCACCCGCGTCCGTAAAGGGTTACTGGGGTGGGGAGCCTTTTTCCTGCCAAGGGCGGTGTGGACATGTAAAGCATCCTTCCGGGCCACAGTGGTCAACTAGTTCCTTAGCTCACCCCTCAGGGGATGGCCACAGCGGCTTCTCTTGGGTGAGGGGTGGATGTCCGCTGGTTTTGACGATTTCTCCGGCCCTACGTCCCCCACTCCTGCTTCACAGTCTCACAAACACAGAGTCCGAATGGACGGGATCGTGGTGGCATGGGTGGGCAGTCGGGTGTCAGATGCTTGGGAAGACTCTGCAGCCACTCCGTGGGACCTCTCTGTAAAGGTGTGGGCATGGGGAGCCCGGGGTTTGGTTCAACTTGGCCCTATGAGGCTGCTGTGCATCAGGGTTGAACTTTGTGGTTGTTGGAAGATGTTTAGAGTTCCTGGAAAGGAGGGGGGAGGAGGCACGCATGGTTAAGTGCTTGGTCACCAACCTAAAGGCTGGGGGTTTGGATCCACCTTGTGCTCCTACGGTCACGGTGACCTGCCCCATCACTGAGTGGACATCGAGCCGACAGCCACAGGGAGGGGCTGCTCGAGGCGAAGCCTGACCATCTGTTTCTGAAAGATCACGGCCACGGGTGCACCTGTCACCCCACCCCCAGCCCCCCAGAAGCAGATCCACGGTGATGTGATGGCTCGTGTGTCAGATGCTTACCCAGTGCGGGGCCCATTAGAGGTGTTCGCCACCCTTTGTCATTATGTTCCTTTGTTGTGACGGTTGCCATCGCCTCCCTGGCTCGTTCGCCTGTAAACCTCGGCACACGTTAGCACAGTGACAGTCCCCGGCCCATCGCTAGGCGCCCTGGTGGTGGTAGGGGTTATGCACTGGGCTGCTGGCCTCAAAAGACTAAAGCCGCTGGAAACACCAGCTGCTCCACGGGGGG